TTTTAATTTGACAAATTTAATTGAATTTAACTTATAAAGTAAAATGTTATATTATATAATCAATGTCTTAATATCGCATTTAGAAATAAAATTTTAAAAATTATGTCCATAGTAGATGTTATTCTTTTATTAAACACAAAAAAAAGTTATCAAAATCGGACTAGTCTCCGTGATGTGATTATTTTTCCTGAAGGACATGTCTTTGTTTAATAGCTTAATTATATTCTTTTTTAATTAACAAAATTTTTAACAAAATTTTTAAGTTATAAATTACAAATTTCCTGCTCCCTACTACTGAAGAATAAGAACCCATTTTTCCTAACCCAGACTCAAGCGTGACCAACGTTATTGTTCTGTACAGCTATGGTGTATAAAGCAGTCATTACATAATTATAACTGTGGGTTTTTGCAGACTGCAAGTACAAAATCTCTTTCTAATAGTCTAATAGCGTTCTGAAACTTCACTGCTAAATCAATGTTTCCAATACATTTAACAGCTTGATAAAAGCGTTTAATTATTTTAATTAACATTGTCATCATAGAAATAATAGTTTCTGAAAAAAAAAATATTTGTTAAAAAAACGATATTAAATCAAATGCACTGTTATTATACCTTCATTCATAAAATTCATTTTACATATTTGGTTAAAATTAGCCCCTCGACACCACACATAACAAATATACATAAAATATGGTTGAAACTTATCCTCATAATCATCTACGTTTACTTGCAATCGTTCCTTGTTACATTCTTCAGCAATTTGTTGGGCGAATATCTAGACCATAAAGCATTTTTTTATTTATAAAAAAAATTGTGAATATTTAATATTATCGTCATTAGTTAATTATATTATTTGTTATACTCTGAATTTTGTTTCATTTAGCACCATTTTTCCTAAATACATAGCACGTTCATAATTCTTTACTGACATTCTGTCATTTTCTTCATGACGTACAAACAAACTAAGCATTGTTACCAGATGAGGTAATTCCAACTTCATAAACACACCGCTGTCAAATAATTCTGCCAACAACAGCTCGTCAACACTATGTATTTCATTAGAATACCTATCAAAATATAGAATTAGGTATATAATTCAATTAAAATAGTATTAAATTGTTTGTTGTAGGTAATAATATATTTACTTGTAAAGTTGGCATGCTATTTTTCCTTTAATTTTAAACTGTTTGCTATCAATATAGTTCATAGATTTAAGAATATGTTTTCGGTATTCGATATCATTCCTTTCAACTAACGCTAATGTTTTTTCCAATTTTAATTTAGCATTTAATATTTTATAATCAATCTAATGTGTAAATAAAATTTTGTTTAAACTGTAGTTAGTTATTAATGTAGGTTGTTTTTTATAAATTTACTTCGACTTGTTCTAATAGTCTTGAATAATAAATATGAAGATCGTAAATTGCATTTTCCTTATGCTCAGTTATTCTTTCCTTAAAATATTTGATTTCTTGAGCTTTTCGAACTAGTTCAGGGTCAATGAGTTGTAGTTCATTCTGAATAACAAAACATAGACACTCGTTAACAATGTAAATTTATATATTTCCCATAATCAAAGAATACAGGCATCAAAGAATAATGTTATGGGATTAAACTTGTATTAACTAGTATTTATGTGATACATATTATGATGTAAATTCAGAAGAAATGTTGACCTACTCATTCCTGTGAAGTGCAGAACATTGTATTTGTATAATTTGATTGCATTCAATTGCAATTATACAATAAAAGCATATATATATATATATACTAGACATTCCATGGAAAACTTTTTTTATTTTTCTACCACCTGAATTGTTTTTATTTGCCGAAAAGAAGAAATGTTAAAAGATGACTGCCTTGTAGGACAACTCTAAGTGAATCCTATAGAGCCTCTATAATATTATATTCCTCTATTAATTTACAAGTAAAAAATGTCAAATCCTGAAAGCTGACATTTATACCTTAAAATATTTATAGGCTATTATAGCTTTTTCTCCGTTTTTTAATTAGTTTGTTGTTAATCAATTACCTGGTAAGGTTCGGTGTCATCAAAATATTGCATGCAGTTAAATTTACTCGTCTCGAGTTCATAAAAAAATTGTTTTAACGTATCCATCTGTTTGCGTAATGAATGACATAATCTAACATCATGGTCTTTTTTACCTAATATCATGCATTTTCGAATGGATAACTCTTTTACTTCTATAAACATTTAAAAAATAAATAAATACTATATATATATATTATATATGTGTGTGCGTATTAATATAAGGTGTCTAATTCAAAATTCAGATAATAGTAAAAATTTCCAAACCGTGTTTTAGTAAACTCACTGTATGAAATAGTGCAAATAGTACAAATTTATGGAACATCGATTAAGACTATAACAGGTTTAAACTAAGTACTGTGTTAAAAACTGTGGTTGGTTTCAAAATATCTGACGATTTAAATTTAAAAATCATGTTTCAAAATTAAATATAAAACGAATTTAGCAATATAAACATTTAACATTTTTAAAACTATAACATTTGTGTAAAATACTTCTATAAAACATATTATACCTACTCTATACACAGTGCGTATGATCCAAAGCTTTGATTTCATATTGATGGTAAAATCTTAACTCTATTTTCGTTTTTATTGTTTGTGAAAATTTTTAAGTATTCTTTATTAGCTTATAAGCTAGTTTTGAAAATAGATGCATCTCATATATAATATAATGTGATCAATAAATAACAAAGAAATAAAAATATTTTAAAAACACCCTTAATAACAGAAAAAGTACATGCATAAATATAATATTATACTTAATACCGCCTTTTTTTGTGATAAGGATTCCTTTTTTAATTTAATTTTTTTTTTTACTATATAAATACGAAAAATTGTCTAAATTTTTTCTTAACATTATATTATTATTTATAATACAAAATAATTATTATTTAATTACTTACTTTGTTCAAGCTCTTGTATGGCTACTTGATTTTGAAAATGTAAGAATCTTTTTCGTAGCATATTTTTAGGTTTAAGACCATTAAGCATTTGATTAAACAAAATATTATAGGTAAAATTATATTCTGAAAAAATCGGATCTGGATTCCCTTGTATGATATTTTTGATATCCTCTGAACTGACCTTCTCATCTATCATCAATATAACTTGCCCATTGTCGTACATACTTCGTCCACCTGCTCTACTCGACATTTGTATGTACTCCCCTGAAGTTATCTATTTAAAATAAACAGATTAATTGGGTACAAAGCAGTATGAATTAATACATTATACATACTAATCTTTTTTCATTTTGATCTAGTTTGAAACAAGACGTAATCAATACAGTTTTGGCTGGTGTTTTAAATCCCATTGCATATTTTTCAGTGGTAATTAGAACTTTTAAAAGTCCTTTTGAATATAAAATTTCATTTGTTTTTTTTAATATGGGTAAAGTACCTATTGTTATAAATAAGATTAATACATATTATATTATTAATATAACTCCTCATTCTATTATAATGAGGAGTGGCCGAGTGGGTAAGGTGATTAAAGGCCCGGTATGCTTGATGATGATAATATTAATAATTATAATGCGGTTAATTAAATACTATGAATTTTACCTTTATGGTAGACACCGATTCCTCGCTGTATTAAATTCATTGTGATGTACAAACCAGCTAGTTTAAAATCATCTTCACTTAATTCTTTTGTTATATCATCGAATAATTTTTTGATTGATTTTTTATCGTCATCTAAAAATAATATAATTATAATAAAACATTTGTTTTTATAATATATAAATGTAAGTATTCTCAAAAAGAGCATTTTTTAAGTTTCATGCAAAATACATTCTTTTTAAATTTCTACTTTATTTTATAAAAGTAAAGATTCTATTATATAACCTGTTGTGAAATCCAAACTAATAATTTCGTGTATAAATAGTTCACAGTCGTTTGGATTAGAGAAGAAAATAATCATTGGATCAAAATCGTGATCCTTAATCACACTCACTATTTTCTGGACCATTTTAAATTTGTCTCCATCAAATGTATTTTTTATATTATCATTCATAACATGCGTGAAAGTGGTATTATGTAGTTTATTCTTAACAGTCAATAGCATATTTAGTATCAATATTATTAAACGTTATAGTATTATGACAAAAAATATAAACTATTCTAGTAGGTAGTTTGACTTACATATTCATCAACATTAAGATACAAATCAGTCGCAGGATAAATATAATGGTGAATGTTAGTAGGTCGGTACTCTGTATTAATTACATGACATACTTGGTCATGTAAATTGGCTACCCATTGCATAAATTGCTTAGCATTTTGAATCGTAGCCGACAAAAATACCATACGAACATTGTTGTTTAATGATATCAAAATTATTTCCAAAATATAGTAACGTTCCTTGTCTGTCATAATATAATGTATATCATCAAAAATCATCCATTCTACATCCTTTAGGCCATTAGGATGTTGTAACATGTTATACAAATTCTAAGTAGATTATATTATAATTATATAGTATACATAGTAAAAATACATTTTTACATTGGATAATTAAGTTAATATTTACCTCAAAAGTCATAATTAAACATTTCTTATCTAGGTCACTAGTACTAAAGTCAGTTACCAGACATACATCTTCGAACTCTTTGAAAAAATCATGATACGTCTGAGTAATAAGCTCTGTAATAGGTGTAGTGTAAATTACACGTTTAGATTCTTTTAAAGAAAACGCTATACAATATCTGTAGCAACAACAAAAACAAATTAATTACATTTTTATTATCAACGATTGTTTAACTGTCAGTCTATACATACTCAGCTATAGCAGTTTTACCAGCAAAGGGATGAGCTGATATAAAAACAGAGTGATTACTGTCAATACAAGCAATAGCTTCTCTTTGGAATAGGTGCAACTCAAAATCATATGTTTTGGCTGGAAGTTTATTAGAGTTTTGATACAGATCAGCTGTTGAAGAGTATTCACATATTGATGGAATTGCTATTTCATGGATGTACGACATTCCATCTAAAACTTCTTCCGTAACAATTTGTGTTTTTGGTAATGAAAATTCCAAGCTTAAAAAGAACAAAATATAAAGTAAGTAAATTACACATTTAACAAAAGTCTATTTTTAATTTAAATAATAAGGTGATAGCGATTTTTGGTTTTATTTTTAGTATTGTGCTTCAAGATCTTATAATTTGTATTATCAGCTTGAAAAAAAGGTTGTTGTTTAAAAGTGATTTCTATGGATAATTTGTTTATCAAACAAAATAATAACAATTTTCAAATAATGTATTTTACAGTATACAGTTTACACGTATACATTATATTGTATTATGTTATGTTTTTTCTCTAGAATATTGTATGGATAGTATAGTAGTAAATCGTAAATTTGTGCTACATAAAAAAAATAATGATTTGGAAATCAGAAGATATGTCCCAATGGAAATGATTGGCCGAGGATCCTACGGTATCGTGATGAAATGTAAAGATAAACGAACAAATGAGGTTGTGGCCATAAAAAAAATTACATCATCATACTTTTCAATGCCAGAAGCGTTACGGGAAATCACCATACTAAAGAAGCTCAGCAATCACACACACTTGATTAGTTTTTTAAACGTTTTTCGTGTCAAGCAAATTCTCTACATTGTGTTTCCCTATATGGACTACAACATGTATGAGTACATAAATAAACATTATTCGAATGGACTGGGTTATGATTTAACTAAAGAGTACATGATCCAAGTGAGAGATTTATTTGTACGTTGATGTAAAAAAAAATATAAGTATTTTTTTTAGGTAATCAGAGGAATAGATTATATGCACGAACATCACGTTATTCATAGAGATATTAAACCGGATAATATACTGTTGACAAGAAATGGTGTGATAAAACTTTGTGACCTTGGAATTTCTAAGCTAATATGCCCCACTTCGTTTGGCGCAGAATTACTAATGACACCTGGAATGGGTACTCTATGGTATCAAGCACCAGAAATGTTACTTGGTATTAAAAAATACGGCACTGAAGTAGATATATGGTCAATTGGTAATTTTGTTTTATGTATAGTAAATTAATTTGTTTACCGAAACTATATTTTAACACTGATTTCAGGAATAGTATTTACGGAGTTTATGAGTGGTCAGCCAGTAATAACTGGAAAAACATCAATAAACCAATACAGATCAATTATAAGAAACTTTGGAATTGCGATAGAAGACCAAAAATATTTCAATGAGATAATGAAGAACACACACTATAGCATTGTATCAATGAATTACACAAATAGTTACAAATATGAAAACGTCGGCAAAGCACTAAAAAATTATTATCCTCTGTGGCCTAATGAACTAGTAGAAATTGTTTCTAAATGCTTACAGTTTAAACCAACTAGGCGTAAATCAGCTAAATATTTATTGAATGAGCCATATTTTAGAAACGGAGACTTTTTAGAAAAATTTGCTCATACACTTAATGATAAAATAAGAAATAACACAGGTTTTCAAGTACTCAAAGTGCACAAGTAATATTGTGATTATGTATATTAATTATAAAAACGCTATAGAACAATGTTTTCGAAGTCTTTAGTAAGCACTATGGTAAAACTGAAATTGTTCATATTATATGTTGCGAATAGATACAGCGTATTAAGTTTTAAGTACTATTTTTAAATAAATGTATCTATTACTGAAACGTAGTTAATATATTATATCAAGTTATTATAGATTGATAACATGGTTTTATAATCGGCAGTGGCGTAAGGGGGGGGGGGTAGGCGGGGGTATTTGCCCCACCCTTGATTATTAAGGCTGCGCAAATTTTCGATACGTAAGGCCGTAAATTATCTGTTACTAATAATCCTTTACTAATAATAAACCGTCGTTTGAACTGACTACCAAGTATAATAGGTATGAAGGTTTATAATATTTGTGTTTTGGAAAAAATATTTATATTTGTAAATGAACAGTGGGCCGATAAAAATGTTGCCCCACCCTAAGAAAAACTGAAATGTCACCCCTGAATAACGGACGTTTAAGAGTGAATTTTATATTGTCATTAATCAAAACTACGTATAATTCCTATTAAAAATATTGTAGCTTGTACTTACTCATAAGAAGTAGTTGTACTTTCTTGTGAAGTATCATAGTCATTGTCAAAAAGTCTAGAAAGGTACAATGGTCTAACAAATACAAGTTTCATTAGTAAACAACATTTAAATTTAATTAAATTAACACAATAAATTACATACCCGTCTATAGATTTATCGGATTGGTTACTGTTCGAACCCATCGGAACTGCACACGAGCTTTCGGGCAAACTGTCTACCTCGTCGCATGTTGAGAGACTTATATTTGATACCAGGTCAAAGTGGTCCATGGATGACATCGTGATGGATTTATTTCAAAACAGTCAATAACAAATGCTATGCGATAATAATTATTGCAAATTATTTAATGTTGCTACAATATAATATGTACAGCATAAAAAAAATATGCATACACAAATGGTCCACTGTATGTCTGTGGTCCACGGCGTACAGTCTTTAACAGCTCGGTGTAAAATATGTAGTTGATTTGTGTAGAGGGAGCTTTCCGATGACCTAAATCTGTGCTCTAATCGATGAAACAAGGGAGATGCGCACAGATGTGGTATTACAAAATCGTTACATCCGAATCTGAGATTAACTGCCGGGCGGTGAAGGGGTAAACTACCCCTTGTGTGTTAAACGCGTCCAGCATGAATCTTTGTATGTAATTACTACGCAACTACAAGTTTCCTGTTCGTATCAAGGCTGACATCTGAGTTGTTATATTAATAACTAAGTCATTCACCATCATATGGTACATCTCATTTACTAGAATTCAAAAACGAGCCCAACTTTTAGAAACCGCCAGTAAAATATATAAAAGCTCAGTGTAAAAGTGAACCAAGTCCATTTTTTTGACATAGTAGGTTTTTCGACGTAAAATTAATATCTTTCAGTGTCACCACAGATTATATGAAAACAGATTGTTCACTCTCGATGTAAACAAAAAATGAGCTGATAAGCACTCCGCCGAAACCAGTGTGACCATGTCAGCCGGAACGAAATTATCGAACTTGTATTTACCACAAATTATATGATTATTTCATATAATCTCATATAATTTCATATAATCACAAATTATATGATTATTTCATATAATCTGTGTATTTATCATATTAAATGTTAAAAAAATAATAAATGTTATATCGGTAATAATATTGACCCCGTCGATAACACTCTATCATTATCTCAAAGACATTTCATTACTAACACTGATATATATATCAGTGTTGGAAAGAATGCATTTATTAGATTTCATTCCTTTTTAGAGGAATGCAATCATGAATGTATTACATTTAGTTTTAAGGAATGAGGAATGGGAATTAATTAATTTTATGTCGGAATGTGAATGAATTCTAAAAAAAGAAACACTTCATGGCTATTTAGTAATTTTAAATTGACTGTAATTTACTAATTTATATTTAATTTATGATATATTTTATACATTTTTTCATAGCAAATGAACAGATTGATGAACAATAAATAATCAATTACTAACATTTTTTAAACAGTTTTAAAGGAATTAATTTTCTGAAAAAACGAATGTCTTACATCAGATGAATCACCTGTAGTTTATACAAGGTGATCTTTTGGTTGACATTATTATTCTGACCAAAAAAAATTAAAATTATTAAAACATATTTTTATATTTAAATTTGTTTTCATTCATAATACTTAAAATAGCATCTAAGTCTTTTATACAGTTTGCATTTTCAGAATAATGGAAATGGTTCTGGCAAAACATTTTTTTAAACGACCAAAAATGGACTGGTGTCGGATTTATATTACTCCCATTTCCCACCCCCTAGGATGGTTACAAGTTTTTTTTGTTTTTAAGCTATAATTTTGGGACCTTTAAGTTGAAAATTTGTCAGTTGTTAGAACTCATATGTATCCGTAACATGTTAAACGGAAAACAATTCGGCACTTCAGTTTTTTATACTATTTTACTAACAATTATACTATTTTATTTATGTGAACTTTGTGATTTATTAATTTTTACTAATTATTTCATGTTCATTATTTTTTATTTATTTTAACCTATTAGCAGGCGCGTATGCGCATTTTGTACGCCAAATATACTTTTAAAGGCACGACTTTTATCTGAGTAGCCTATAGAATTAGAGTAAATAAAAAATTGGTTATATTAAAACACGTATAACTAGGTATATAAATATGCAATACTTTTAGTTGTTTAATACTTTTTTATAATAATTTGTATTATTTTATTTAGAATTATTTTTTGTTTATTATTTTTGAATTGATATTATTTTTATAATAACAATGTAATTAAATACTGCGTGTCAATACTATTCATAGTTGATTAATGCTCTGTCAGTTGTCATGCCCTATGGTGGACAGCTTACTATTTCTCTATGTTAGAAATAATTAAAATTGTATAATAATAAGTATGGATATGTTATGTTTATTGTTTATAATGCATTATATTTTTACTTATTGGGAATTTTAAAATGTCTTATTATTAAATGTATTATTATTTATTAATTGTAATTTATTATTGAAATTAAAATTATTGCCCTTGGATAAGTCATACTATATAGTGCGTAAGATAATATAAAACAACTGTAATTGTAAGAATAATATTATTAAATTATTATTATTATCATTATGGTTATTAATATTTATAAAATGTTTAGTAAATACAAGAGAAACATTCTGTTTAACTCAATTATTTAACAAATGCGAAAGCCCGCGAACACGTTTAAAAACAAATTCCCTTCAGACGGTCATACTGATTTTGGCGGGCCAATCATAGAGCCTTATTTGCAATCCTATTGTTAAAGGCCCGAGTGAACAATCTGTTTTCATATAATCTGTGGTGTCACCAAGCCATCTCAATGTCGCAAAATAGCATCATGTATACTGAATTGTACCACGAGTAGATTATGCGAAAAACCATTTAGTAGCCCATTACTGGAAATCCGCTGTGATAGACTTAGTTCACTTTTGCTCTGAATCCTCCATACTTCGGTTTCTCTGATAAAGAAACCAACTAAGTTGCAACAAGTCTACCCGGGTTTAGCAATACTCAAGTAAATAACAAATCTACATAGGAAAAAAATGCTCACTACTAATGTACAAATACTTCGTTCTATGCTTGCCCTATCTGGAGTAAATGTGTTTAAACTCATCTACAGTGTATAACCAACGCACCATGGTTTGTGTTGAAGCCTAGTGGCGGTTGGCATTACTGGTTCCACCAACCTTCTATCCCCGTCGACCACTACTACCAACACCGTCGACCAGCTGATCATTCACATGTACTATGTAGAGTCTTAATTATTTTATGTTCTGGTCAACGTTTTTTAGTAGTTTTTTAATATCTCGCCTTAACCAATTCACTGGCAACATTTATCAATATTTAACATTTCTCATAAATCAATTTCCGTGGTTCGACAGTAAGTAAGTGCCTACCTAACCAATTAATTTGGCTATCCTTATATATCCTAATATATGCTTTGGAGTATACACTTATCTCTAATACATAACCACTTACAACCGCTAGATCGTGCCTCACGCACACATTTTACTCGGTAACGTTCAGCGAGATGCACGTACAGATTTTCTTATTTACCCCCAGCCAACCCCCCTTTGGTAACCAAATAATCAAAGGTCACTGATAATAATTAACACGGTAAAGATACTTATCACACAAAAACGCGTTGGCCATCTTCTAAATATGATAATAACCATAATACATTATAACTATAAATCAGGATTACTATTTGCAATGCGCATTAAACGAATCAGGGGGCAATGAAGAGTTAGTAGAAGTGGAAGGAATGAAAAAAGGAGCAGTGTATCGAGTATGTCGAGCAGGAATTCGGAAAGTTAACTTTGAGAGTAAGACAGAGGAATCTATTTCGCCAGTTATCGTTTTTAAAAGGAAACGTTTATTTGCTTCATGTCTTCGGTCAGATAAGGAGGATAGTTGTAAGAAATCTTGAATGGGAGTTAAGTCGTAGGGAGAATGCGGTATTTTTAGGACAAATGCCGCAAAACGTAGAAATTTACGTTTGAACTCTTTCAAACATGACAGAATCAGTTGGGTTATAAGGGTCCCATAGAACAGCACCGTATTCAAGAATAGGCCGAAGTAAAGAGCAATAAAGACTTGTTAAGGATTTTAAAAGATGAAACTCGTAAGCAACTCTTTGGATAAAGCCTAAGGTTTTCAGAGCTTTACAACATTTTTTTTCAACATGAAGACGAAAATTCAAAGAGGGAGAAAGACGAAAACCAAAGTCAACAACAAAAGAGATAGATGCAACAGGGTGATTATAGATGAAATAAGATGAAGAAATGGGATTAGAAATTTGGGAAAAAGTAATTTTTTGGCATTTTTAAATATTAAAAGCTAAACCAATCGATTCAGCCCATCTAACTAGGCGATTAAGGTCAGCTTGAAGTAAGGAAACA